GGGCGGGCTGGGGGGCCGCTGTGCTTGCGGCAGTGGTGGGGGAGACAGGGGAGGTGGCGGGCGGGGGCTCCGGCGGAGGTTCTGGCGGGGGGCGATGTGCTGGCGGCTGGGCGGCGGTGCCCAGCAGGTGCTGGAAGTGGCGCGCCACGTCTTCCGGCACCAGGTTCAGCTGCTTGGCGGCTTGGGGCTTGAGCCTGAAGAAGAAGTCTTGTGGGTCCGTTTTGGCCAGCTGCTCCAGCTTCTCGCCGCGGAGGGCTTGGCACTTGTGCCACGCTGCCACCAGCCGGCGCTTCAGGCGGTTGCGGCAGCGTCCCACCTCCCGCCGCAGGGCTGCGTCCTGCTGCTCAGGGCCGATGCCACGTTGCTGCGCAACAGCTGCCTGCTGCACCGCATTGCGTTGCGCCCTTCTTGCGTCGCGGATGCCGTACTGCCGTTGTAGGCTGCGGGGGAGGGAGTGTGGTCGCTGGGCGCCACCGTTGCTGCTGCGCTGCCGCATGCCTGCGCCATCCAGGGTCTCCACCATGAGCTCAGCAAATGCCGCTGCCAGCTGCTCCAGGGCTGCAGGGCTGGCCGCTGACTCCGCTGCCGCTGCCAGGGCATCCAGCTGCCTCTGCGTGCCTGCGAGGAGCGCCACGGCTGCTGCCAGCTGCTCAGCTGTCCCCAGCTCGAATTGGCGCTGCTGCGGGGGTGCGGAGGTGTGCTCCTGCTGCGCCGTGCTGTCCCGCTGTACCGCCGGGGGTGCTGCTAGCTCCAGCAGGAGCGTTGCGTGGTCGGAGTGCTGCGCTGCCAGGCCCCAGCTGTCCACCGCCATGGTGGGCAGCCGCGGCAGGAGGCTGGCGCTGGCCAGCCAGTAGTCAACCACCGCCCTGCCGGAGCCGCGGCTGCCGAAGCTGGTGGCGTCGCCGCTGGTGGTGCCCGGCACTCTGCCGTTGCAGATGCGGGCCGCGCTGCTTTGGCAGAGGCTGAGCAGCTGCCTGCCATGGGAGTTGGGGGCCGCCGTGTCGCTGCTGCGGCGGGCAGGGCAGCCCGCGTCTTCGTCGCCGTCTGGCCAGTCAGGGAGGGAGGCGGTGCGCCCGTTGGCATCCATGGCGGCTCACATGTGCGGCTCACATGTATGCGGCTCACATGTGTGCGGCTCACATGTATGCGGCTCACATGTGCAAGCAGCTCTGCACAAGTCGAGGGCTGAGGTGGGCAAAGCTCTGAGTCAGTCGGAAGGGTTGCGCTAGGTCGGCTCGAATTCCTCAACATGCCCGGAGGGTGGGCCCAGCCGGTGGTGGGCGCCAGCTTTCGCTGCGCGGCGTTGGCCAGCGCCGAGGGATATGCTGCCGCCAGCAGTTGCCCCCACGGCACGCCGCCAGCACTCTCTTGGCATGGCGTACATCCCATCAGAGCTGGTGGCATCAACACAGGCGACTGCAACGGTAGTGACCTCTCTCTTCCCCCATCCAGCGCCGGCGCCTTGCACGCCCGCCTCTCGCCGGCACACCAGTCAGCGTGGGAGCACACTGCCCGGCACTGCCCCCATGGTTGCCTGCCACTGTGTTACTGTGTTACAGCCACCCCGCTATGAAAGGCCGCGTGAGCAGACCTTGGGCAGGAGGCACACGTGATCAAGGGGCATCAAGATAGGGGGTTGGGCATCAAGCTGCCAGCATCCAGCTGCCCGCCGCAGGGCCGCCTTCCTTGCCCATGTTACCGCACGCCAGGTAGGCGCAGCAGCGGGTGCCCACCGCCTGGCCAGCTCCAGCAAACCAGCCGCCGCCAGCCCCGCCTGCTGCCGGCCCGCTGCGCCAGCCCCGCCAGCTCGGCAGCGGGCTGCAGCACACGCGCCCAGTGCTGCACGGCCGCTGGTG